AATATCAATCAAACATCATTTGATCAAAGGAAGCTCTTTGGACCATTCGATCAAAGTTGTTCATGTTCCAGCTTTAATTGCACCCAAAACTCTATAAATAGAGTCTCACCCCTTTCATGAGAAGAGCTTAAAGTATGAGGAGCGAGCTTGAGGCTTGAAGAGGAGCTTGAAACTTCGAGAAGAAGATGGAGTTCACCATCACTCCTGTCGTCGTCGACCATCGCCGACCATCACCTGCTAGTCGCCTATTACTATTGGTCACCGTCTATTCCTTGCAACAATTTCATCTACATCTCAATGATATAATTTAGAAGGATTTGTAATCATTTGTCATTTGTGGGACAAGAGGACTCTATAAGCATCAACTTACAGTGTATTTTATAACTAGGTCAAGCCCCGTATTTTTTTTTTCTTTCTGGGTTTTCCACATAAAAGAATGTTTTGTGTATCGCTTGATAAAAAAAACTATAACAAAATTAGTCCAATTCGAGTCAAATCAAGCCCCGGTCAAGACATTAAACAATTTTTAGAAGCTTTTTTGGGGTATATTTGGAAGACCAAATGGATGTAGAATCTAGAGAGCTTAAAGTCAAATCGAGCGTCTCAATAAAACGAATCCAACAAGCTCGAGATCACTCAATTTTAACATCATTAAGACAATCGAATATTCATCAAACACTGTCTAATTAAAAGAAGCTCTTTAGACTATCTGATCAAAGTGGTTCATATTACAACATTAATTGCACCCAAAACTCTATAAATAGAGCTCCACCCCACTAAGAGGAGAGCATGAAGTCTAAGGAAGGAGCTTGAGGATTGAAGTGGAGCTTGAAGCTTTGAGAAAAAGTTGAATTCCAGGATCACTTCTATCATCATTGACCACCACCATCCAAAATTGACCACCACATGACACCGCCGACCATCGTCGACCACCACAAGCTACCGCCGACCATCATCGACCAACACCTGAAAGCCACCATCGATCACTATTGGTCACCAGACATTACTTGGAACAAGTTCATCTACATGTCAACATTGTTATTCAAAAGACTTTGTAACACTTTCCCGCATGTGGGATAAGGGGTCTTTGTAATAGTCGTACTAACATTCATGAAGATTCATCACATACACAAATAAAATAAAATAACAAATAAATACACCAAAATTTATTACGTGGAAAACCCAGAAAGAGACAAAATATAATCTATTACCCTACTGCCTCAAATCTTATATCAGGCATCAGTTTGGTGTCATTAGTGGGAGGCGGGGTACCGTTTGCACTATTTCAACTCTGAGACGTCAAACCCCTACTTTTTTCTCAATGTACATCATTCAACTGACGAAGGAACTTCTTTTGCTTCTTGAAGATCATCTCTGGAACGGGGGTGGGGGGGGGGGGGGGGGGGGGAACCTTCACTATAGTCTCAAAAGGTCGTTCACATTAACGTCATGGGCACCACTATGGTAGGGTAATTATCTCACATTTCATTCAGACAATAAAGCTTTGAAAATCACTCCAAGACTAGGGGCAATCTTCATCGCAGAGAATGATTCCTTGATGCCTTCTGACCGTATTAAAGTTCTTCTTCAACCAGATCAAGAAGCTGATCTTTCAAAGGCTTTGATACATTGGATGTTTTACATGCTCGCATGGAAAATGCCTCCGCTGAGGGCAAAAAGATTCAAAAGTAGCAACTAATGAGTTGTCAAATATTATTTTTTAGTATGGTTGTAACCACATTTACAAGAAAAACATACGGTCGATTGCGACCTACACCCTTGTCTTAAGAAATGCAGAGCATCTCTAACGCCTCATTCTAAGCTTAATGGATCTTAGTGAGACTCAATTTGACCTCTTCCATTACAGGCTATAGTCATTAAGCGAAAGCTTCGATATGTAAACTTGTATATGTCAAAAACCTCAGAAGGCTACAAGCTTCAAAAGATACAAGTACATCAAAGACCTCAGAAGGCTACAAGCCTCATGAGGCACAATTATATCAAATAACTTAGAAGGCTATGAGCCTCAGAAGGCATCGACACATTTCAAGCTCCTAGAAGGCATAAACCTAAGAAGGTATAAGCTTTAGAGGATATATACCTAAAGGGACACAAGCTTCAGAAGGCATGGGCCTCAAAAGGTGTGAGATATTTTTTTAAAAGAGCATGTGCTAACTTTAATTACAAACGCTCACATGATTGAGAAGCCACAAAAACCTAAGAAACAACTTCAAAGATGTATAAGAAAGTATGTTATCATCATCTATAAATGTCACATCAGGGAATTGAAAGGCTACAAAAACCAACATATATTTGTACAAGGGTTACAACAACTCAGCTCATCTTTTAGTAGAGACGACATTGCCTCTTTGAAATTCCAATACTTTTGCTGATCTTCAGGGGGGTCTCCATATATCACCACCACAGAAGCACAAAAATCCCCCACTTCAAAGCACAACAAGAAAACTCTAACATTTCATCATCTCCACCAGAATGTGCATTAGCAATAAGTAAGCAAATCCCAAGTCAGCCACTAGACAGGGATGGGGATAACTTTCTTTATTCAATAACACAAAAGAGTATCTTGTTGATTGTCTGTCATGTAGGAAGGGGACGACTTTCTCCTGCAACATAACAAAAAAAAAAGATCACGTTGCTCGCCTGTTGCGCTGTGAAGACGTCTTTCTCCTGCAACACAACGTGAAAGAAGATCACGTTACTCGCTTACTATGTTGGATGGGGATGACTTCCTCTTATCGTGCAACTCAAACTAAGATCTTATTGATTGTCTACTACACATGACGGTGAGCACTTTCTTTTGCATCGCAACGCAAAAAAAGATCCCGTTGCTTGCCTGTTACACAAGAAGGGGACGACTTTCTTCTATAGCACTATGCGAAAGAAGAACTTATTGTTGTCTGCTACACAGGACTGAGATGATTTTCTCCTGCAATGCAACATGAAAGCAGATCTTGCTGATTGACTATTAAGCTAGATGGAGACGACTTTCTTTTGCAACAAAATGTGAAAGAAGATCCTGTGACGCATAACAAAGATGAATTTCTCTTGCAATGCAATATGAAAGAAGATCTTGTTGCTCATTTGTTACGCTGGACAAGGACGACATTCTTCTACAGAGCAACATGAAAGAGGATCTCGTTGCTCTTCTGCTATACAAAACGGGAACCACTTTCTTCTGCAATGCAAATTGAAGAAGATCTTATTGCTCGTGTGCTACGCAGGACAGGGAAGACTTCTTTTACAATACAATGTGAAAGAAGATTTTGTTGATCATCTGCCATGCAAGGCGTGGAGTACTTTCTTTTATAACGCAATGCGACAAAAAATTTTGTTGCTCGTTTGCTACGCAGGACGAGGATAACTTTCTCCCATAGCGCAACACGAAAGAAGTTATGCAACACAAAAGAAGATTTGCAATGTAGAAGAAGATCTCGTTGCTCACCTATAACGCAGGACGAAGATGACTTTCTCTAGCATCACAATATGAAAGAATATCTCATTGCCCGTCAACTACAAACGATGAAATTGACTTTCTCTTGCAATGCAATGCGAAAAAATATCCTATTTGTCGTCTGCTATGCATGACATAAATGACTTTCTTCTGCATCATAACATGAAAAAGCATCTTGTTGATCGCTTGCTGCACAAGAAAGAGATGACTTTCTTTTGCTTCGCAACACGAAAGGGGATCCCTATTAGCATCAGTTCTTGATGTCACATAAGCAGATGTCTATTTTAGGATAAAGAGCTATGCTTAGTTTCGTGTTATTCAAGACATCCTACCAAAACTCCTGGTACGTGCCACAAGCATGAAAACAGGACCAACACAAATTTGGCCCTACCGAGAAAATTCACTGTGAGATGGTACTGACTCTAACTTCGAGCGTGTTTTACGTCCATTTTGATGTTGAGAGACCTAACTTCATCGAGTCAGAGTCTTTTGAGGCCAAGAGTAGTTATTGAAATCTCTCGCACACATTTTGGAAAAATTCGGGTACGATCAACTTTTACCCCCACGGGGTTTCGGGACGCCTATCGAGACCCCAGCTTGAAACACCTCAAATGTTCACTTTTGACAAACGGGGTTGCATTCTAGTAATGCACTACTTTCAGTGATTTTTGGATCAGCAAGGACTTTCCTACGGTCATTCGAGCAAAAATTAGGATTTAGGACACCCTGCTTGCGTATGGTTTGGAATGTCCATTGACGAAAAACAACACTCATCATCACCTTTTAATTGTCAAATTCATCTCACACATGAACTTTTCTCTTTAACTATCTCACATTTAAATTTTCATAACTACAAACATCATATGAAAATTAACACTCATTATCATCTTTTAATAGTTAAACATATCTTTTCCAACATAGTCAAAGGCTTATGTGTGTAAAAATAAAAGTTTAGGTGTGCGATAGATAAATCCACAAAAAATTGATGCTATGTATGTAATTTTCCTTTTTTTTTAAATAAATTTCATGAACCCCAACCTTATATTTTTTAAAAGAAATTGGAGACCACCTTTAATTTTACTTGAGAGAAGGTAGCCACCCATCCTGCATAACCAGAACACCCCTAACTTGGGCAAAATTTCATATTTTCTCAATTAATTTTGAAGTTTGAAATTTGCCCAACTTGGAATGGGAGCCTCTGTTCATATTGATTCGCTTTTTTAATTTTCTTGCTAAAGTACACTTGCCAAGAAAAGCAAAATGACAAGGACTAAATATACTCCTATTTTGAAAATTTTTAAATTAAATTCAAAAAAAACGGAAATTGCAAAAGCACTGCCACTGCACTTTAAATGCGTTATTTATGTAATGATTTGCTCCACCTTTTCCTTTTCTTTTTTTTAAATAAAAATCTTCAATTTTACTCTATGGCAAGCTCCCATTTTTTTTTAAGCCGTTGCCAGCCATGGTATCTTTACATTAAATTCGCAGCACAAGGAAAACACTTTTTATGAGGTTCGCTGTCCTACGAGCATATCCGGCTATAAATCGCCGAAATACCCTCGCTTTCCTGCAAATTTTCCATTGGTAATTGAAGCAAGCTATTGGGGCAGAAGTGTATTTCCTCCGAGCAGAGGAACCCGCTCTTTCTTTGTAATTGTCTTCCTGTTGGGAAAGCAGGGGAGCACAGATTGAGGGGATACAGCAGGTGGAAACAGAAAGGAGGTGTTTTTTTTTCCGGCGGGCCGTCGGGAAGAAAACGTTGGAAAATCTTTGGAAGAGAGAGAGAGATTGAAGGGAAGAAAAGGAGTGAAACTGCTTCAGTGTCTTCCATTGTTTTTGGAAGTAGTATTTATGAATGGAAGGTAGAGAGAGTGTGGTGTTTTTTGGGTCTGAGGGGTTCGGTGGAGTAAAAAACACACCTTCTTTAACCCCTTCTCCTGTTTCTTCTCCATCGCCGCCTCCTTCGCTGCCGCACGCCGGAGGTATAGCCGGAGTTGGTGGTGAAGCTGGAAGCTTTATAGGACATGTAGGTGGAGGAAGCAGCGGAGGTGCTGCGGTAGCTGCCGCAGGGGGCCCCGCGGGGGGCCGCAGCGGCCGCTGCGGCGGCAAGTCGTGTGGATGGGATGGCGATGGGGATGGGGATGGGGATGGGTTTAGGAATGGGAAGCATCGGGAGTAGCTTTAGCGGCGGTTCGGAGGAACTTATGAAAAAGAAGAGAGGGAGACCAAAGAAGTTGGGGCCGGAAAGCATGGAGCTTGCTCTGACGGCGAGGTCCTCTTCGCCATTTTCCTCCGGCTCCAAGTTCTCCGCCAAAGGGCCTAGAGGGCGGCCACGGGGCACCGGTAGATGCCAGCTCCTCGCAGCTCTCGGTACCCTTTACTTTTATCTATGTTTCCCTTTATCTCCCCCTTCACTATTTTTGTTTCTCATAAACTGAAATACTGAGATCAGTGGTTTGGTTGAAGTGAAGTGTCAATGTTTGGCTACAGTATACAACATGAGACTGACTTTATTTCTATGGGGCCTCCTTCCTTATTTTGTTTTATTCTTCAAAGACTGCTTTTTTTTGGTTGGTTTCTCAGGTTTGAAGTCAGTATTTGGTGGTTGACCATTACATTCTTTGGAATCTCTGTATTGTCATCTTGTCCACATAAAAAAAATTATTACTTTACCATAATGGATAATCATGATATGCTTATTTCTTCTGCTTGGTGAAACGAAGTATTTACATCTGATTTCTTTGTTTTGTATTAGGGGAATGGTTTCAGTTATCTGCGGGAGGGAGTTTCACTCCTCATGTTGTGTCTATTGCCGCGGGGGAGGTAATTAGTTGGTTAATACGTTTCATTTATTTTACTTTGTTGGTTTTCTAAGTTTTATAATGTTATTAATATAGGACGTCGCAGCTCGGATTCTTTCTTTCTCGCAGAAGGGGCCGAGAGCTGTGTGCATTTTATCTGCAAATGGAGCTATTTCAAATGTTACCTTACGACAGCCTGGTTCTTCTGGGGGTACCTTGACATTTGAGGCATGACCTATATGCATTTTTTGGCTCCTCTCCCTTTGTTATGATTCTGTTTTAGTTTGTTCTAGTTTTATGTATATGCTCTTTTTTTATTTTAAAGGGTAGGGTGGTTATATAGAGTGGGAGAGATTGATTCGTCGCTAATCTTTATAGCTCCAACTCTTATGAAAGGAGGTAGGTAGGGAGGCAGAGAGCTATTGAATACTATCTTTTTTATCTCCAATCTATCAGTTGTGATGTCAATGTATGTGTTTGTGTGTGTGTGTGTGTGAGAGAGAGAGAGAGAGAGACAGAGAGAGAGAGAGAGGAATCTAAGGATTAGAATTTTTCACCCCACTAATATGAGGTTTTGGTTAGGGTGATCGTTTAGATTGAGTGGGAGTGAGAGAGAAGCAATCATCAGTTATATATCGAGCAACCCCCTTTCTAAATACAATCATAAAGTTGAACATTTAGAATTACAATTTATTTTTTACGGGAGTTTCTTTTATTGGGATGATACTGAGATGATAGACAAATTTTGGTATCCTCCTACTTATTAGGATCAATTTTATATGTTTGAGGGTCCAAATCAAAATCCCTTTGTATCCCAATTTCTATATGAGACACAATTTTAGATTAATTTCGTCTAGGGATTACTAAAGAAATGTGATATTTTGTGACTAAAGTGGCCTCATATAAAATTACCAAAATAATCCCCATTAATTGTTGGGGGGAAGGGGGGCATTTAAGTCCAAGAGCCGAAATGATCCCTTCATTAAAAATAATCAAAATTGAAATCGTATTTAATAGATGTCATAGAAAATGAGGGTATTTTTGGAATATACGTCATAAAATTTTTATAAAACTAACATATGGTTTTAAGTTTATTTTGTTTTGCCAAAAAAGAATCATCAATAATAATTTCCTACACTTATAATTTTAATACGTATTATTTATAATTTTAAGATGTGTTAATTTCAAAGATCTAAAAATGAAGAGATATTGAAAATATTGCTGATATATTATATAATTACTTGAAAAATTTTAAGATATAAATTTCTAAATGCCCATAATTTTCATGCAATTTATTTTAATGTTAATTAAAATTACTTTTAATTGCGAGATCATTTTGTCTCTTATTTTAAAAGTCCAAAGGCTAACTTGGTCATTTTATATCATGTTGGAGTAAGATGGTCCCATTATAAATAATAGGGTGACAATTTTGGTTCTTTTCTTCTCAAGGATGTAATCTTTTTTTAAGGCTTTGATATTTTACTTAAAATTTACTTACATAATTTTATATTATATGTTATTAATAATTTTTTTATTGTTTTTTATTTTACTTTGTTATTTCCATATCACTTTGGCTTATATAATAATTATTAATATTTTTAAAAAATAGTATTTATATTTTTATTTAATTTTGTTTCCTTAATATTTTTATTTTTTAATGTTCACAAAGCTTTCTTAGGTTTAATAAATCCAAAAATTTCATTTACCACATGAATTGTTGTTCGGGTATGTGCATAAGCCAATTATGGTTGTTGGATTGAAATCATAGGGTTGGAAATCACTTGTTTATGATTTGATTTAATTGCGTCATTATTAAATGAATTGGCATCCCATTGCTGGTGTAGCATTTAAAGCTTCTTCACATGTGGCTTTAGCAGAGGGAAATAACATGCACGTGTAGGGCTGCAATTCAGGCTAGCCGAGCCGAATATATCATAGTTTTTACTTGACTTGATACAATCATAAGTTCATGTTAGGCTTAAGTATGCGTCGAGCTTTCACATCTTGTTTAAGCTTGACTTGTTTATAATTTTCAATGTTTGAACTTGATTTGTGCTTAATTTGTTTATGACAATTGAACAGGTATTTAAACGAGCTAAAACTTTGAACGAGTATCTAGATATTCATATAAAAATATAAATTTTACAAATCTAAATAAATAAACAATTAAATAAATTATATAACTTGTATATAATATAAACAAATAAAAAAACTACCTCGCATATAATCATCTAGTGTCTATAATAGATATATTCTCACAAAAATAAACTCTATATAGAGAAAAATATTGAAACAAGAGCAAAAAAAAAAAAATTTACAAATCTAAATAAATAAACAATTAAATAAATTATATAACTTGTATATAATATAAACAAATAAACTAACTCGCATATTATCATCTAGTGTCTATAATAGATATATTCTCACAAAAATAAACTCTATATAGAGAAAAATATTGAAACAAGAGCAAAAAAAAAAAAAGAACTAGTATTACAAAGTAACTCATAATGTGAAATTATTTATCAATTATTGAAATAATTGAGGAAAGTCAGAGGCAGTCAGATCCAAAATAATAAAATAGAATAAATAAAAGTGATGTTCACTTTTAGAATTCAATCTTGTTAATTCTCAAATATTTAATAATTAAAAATAAAATAAATATATAATTAAGAATTAATCTAAAAATATTATTGATATAATAATATATTACTATTAAATCTATAAACAAATAAATCCTAGAAATCAAGTTTTATTTAAATAATATATCATATATGATACGACTATATTCGAGCTTCATATCGAGTATTTAAACAGTTACTTGTTGAACAACAAATGAGTTTATTCGTGAACATAAATGAATAAGTTTGACTATGTTCATGTTTAGTTCATGCAAGAATGGAGCTTTAAAAAATTTGCTTAAGCTTGTTTATTTACTGATTTGAAAGAACATGATCGAGTCTTACTCTAGTCGAGTTCAATTTTTTCATCTAGTGCATTGGTTCATTTGCAGCCCTATGCACGTGTAGGGTCGTTTGATCTAAAGAGAAAATGACCATGATTAAAATCTAGGTTGATTTCTTAAGTCGGAATTTAATGAATTTATCAAATCAACATCATTGATCTCATCTAATCAAATCAACTATTGATTTGATCATCTACTCATGTCAAAACATTGAATCTATAGATTTTTTTAAGATGGTTAACTCACTCCATATAGAGCAAATTACACCATCTAAATTGATCGGTGGAATGAGATCCATCGATTGCTATCCCAGCCTCATATAGTTATGGTATGCACACTATGATTCAACTACAATAGATTGGATTTAACTATTGTTGATGTATTTTGGGTCCTAAGGTCTAGGAGAGATGTTCTAAGTATGCAAAAGGATGATTTTTTTGGTTCAGGGATGACTAATTTTACTGTAGTAATTGCAAAAAGTTCTTAGATTATTTGGATTTACAGAAAGGAATGGTGTAAATGTACTCATAAGTCATAGATAAAATTAATATTGTTAGTTTTGGATAAAAAATATTGGACTTGAGGTTATGTAAACATGTCATGCATAATAAATTTATCATCTTTTGTGGCAAGCACTTATAAGGCAAAATAAATAATATTAATTTTGATGAATTCGGTAGAAGAATGGTTAGACCTATGGTAACTTACAATGAGTCATTGTTATATATTTCTACGAAGTAATTTATAGGTTCTGAGCAAGCTATGGATAGTTATGAGTTTCTTCAGAATCACTTTGGCTAATTTGCTTATTGAGTTCTTTGCATTGTGATTTTCTCACATGCTATTTTTCTTAGCATAATCATTGGCCACTTTTAGGGATTTAATTTGGTGTTGTATAATGTGCTTTGGATATCGTATAATATTGCTTTATTTGAGTAATCTTTATATTGCAGGGACGTTTTGAGATATTATCGCTCTCTGGATCATTCACAATTACCGACTTTGACGGTGTAAGAAGTAGAACTGGTGGAATAAGCATCTCCCTTGCAGGCCCAGACGGGCGTGTAATTGGAGGAGGCGTTGCGGGGTTATTACTTGCTGCCAGTCCGATTCAGGTAACACAGAAAGCTTGCTGATTTACTCTTGACTTGCAAATTCAACTCATTGATTGTTGTTATCTGGTTTTACATGATTATAACCCAAGCTTATTGCCCCTTTTCTAAGTGTGTATCTCACTAGCATAAGGATGGTTGTGTTTGGTTCAGGGATGGCTAATTTCACCGTAATGATTGCTTGGCTGTGGCTGCCTTTTGTTTAAAGTTTTTTTAGGTAGAAGCATCCAAAGTCTTTGTAAAGTAACAACAACCTCATCATTTATTATTAGCCTAGAAAAATTTATGAACACTTTATACATTAAGGATGTGTTTTTTGCCCAAAGGAACCTCGGCTGATGTTAAGTAACAATTATTAGAAAAGTAGGGACTGAGTGCAAAAAGCTTCAATTTTATTGTTTGAGTGTGCGCTGGATCTTCGTTCAAATTATCTTTTTTCCCCTTCTTTTACTATTATTGCTAGGTTCTTCATCTTCTCTGGGCTTCAAATATCGTGTTTCTCTAATAGTATCACCATTTTCTTTTATTTTTTGTTGATTTCTTCTTTGCATGGTCATTGCACAGCTTCTGATTGAGCTCTGCAATCCAATTTAAACCTGAATAAGATATTCTTCCAATTCTATAGCTACTCATAAGGCCATAAACATCACAAAAATCGAAACCTCCAGATTTCATATTTTTGCTACTTTACCAGGTTGTGGTTGGAAGCTTCTTACCAAATGCTTTCAAGGAGCACAAACGAAAGCTCAACCAGGATTCTTCGCCGTTCCCATCTATTCTACCTTCTTCCTGCACCGCAGATGTAGCGCCGCTATCACATGCCACTGAGGAATGTGAGGACAAAAAGTCAACAATTCAAGATCCGACGAGTGGTGGTACGCATAGCAATGTGATCAACATCACCGATCTAAATCCGCCGTCTTTCCGATCTGTTCATTGGCAAGGCATGCAGCCCTCATCGGAGCAAAAGTCATCTCCAGATATTAACGTATGTTTACGTGAGTAGGACATTTATGTCACAACCCATTCAGGGGCTTGAAATTTTCAAGACGAGACAAATAGTCAACGGTAAACATTTAAATTTAATTACTAATTCTAAATCCAATCATAAAAAAAGAGCCATAAAATGTTAAAAAGAAAAAAAATAACATTGATATCATTTTAAGTTTTTTATGGTTCTTTCTTTATTATTTGATTTTAAATTTAAATTTGGATTTTTACCGTCCGATCGTTTGTTCCCGTTTTAGAAAATTCAAGCTCTGGATTGGCTCTTGATAATTTCAAACTCAAATTTTTTTCTGCTGCTCCTAACATTTAGTTATTGAGCTCACAATTTGGTAGGATCATCACTGTCCCTATGTGATTAAGAAGCTTATTGAGTTCTGGTGTTGTTCTAGCATTTCTAATTTGGTCTCTTTCTGCTACTGAAATCTTCAAAGCTTCACTTCTTGGTGTTGTTGTTCATGAATATTTGCAAATTCTGAAGATTGCCATTCTTTATTTCATTTTATTGTGAGAAAAGTTTAATTGTTTGCATTTGGGTGTGTGCTGGTTGAAATTATTAATGTTTTCTTAATAAATTGTAAACTATCTTTCCTACAATTGGCATCAAGACAGTGATGATAAGAAATAGATGATATACAACATGATTTTTTGGGGGAGAATGAGTCATTGGATGGAGAATTTCCTCACATTTTTGCTAAGTTGATAGCAACAGAATAACCAGAGGACTGATGATCCATCAGACATTTTGGTTCATGTTGTTGAGAAGATCAAATGAAAACAATGAGTTTATTTTAATGTGAAACTGTTGCTTATAATTGAAGGAAAAAACATATCATTCTAGTTTCTAATCTTGTAGTTTGCTGTCTCATGAGATTTCATTCTTGTAAATGACATCCAATTGATTCTTCTTCTTTTTTTCACACACCCGAATGCATGCGCCCGCATGCATGCACTTCGCAAATGCAAGGTTTTGAATGTAATTCCTCTTCGTTGAAAAACAAAGCTCTCAATTATCATGCAAATGACGTCAAATTGTTACTTCGAACTATTGTGCAGTCATAAGAAAGAAAAGAAAAAGAAAAAGAAGTGGGGGATTACTAAATTTTTTTGAAAATTTTATGAATGAATAAAATAAAAAGTTGGGGAGTTTAGGTATGTAGATCGCAATTCTTATGTATTTATATATATCACGCCTAAATTTTCAAATTTACATGTGTAGAATTTTAGTGTTTTAAACCTATGTATGAAATGTGCATTTTATTTTTAAAAAGTTATAATAGCATTATTTTTTAAGGTTTAGATGTGAGACAGGTAAATACGTACGAGTATAAGGATATATGTAAATACATGGGATTTTTTGCAAGTTGATAATTTATATTACTTTTTTCGATGGTAGATGCGTTGGTGCATTGTAAAGTTGCTTGTTTTGGTGAGAAGAATAATGCAATTGGATTGATCTTGGTGATGATAATGAGCAACCACATATTATCATCCTTCTAGATGAAAAGTATACATTAGTTCTTTATTTTTAAAAACATTCAAAACATCAGTTTTTGAATTAAAAATATTTTAATTTCCTTAACAAAGAAAAATTAAAAAAAATGATACTTAATGACTATAAGGGTCTGTTTGGTGCAGTTGTAGTTTAGTGAATAATCTGCTGATAAGCTATGTGCGGTGACTATTACAAATTTTTATTTTTTTGGAAAAGCTGCCAGAAATCACCTATCTAGGTTCAGCGTTTTCAAAACGCGTAAGCTGTCAAAACGTAGTTTACCCAAATAGGCCAAGTGTATTTTCAAAATGCCACCGCACCAAATAAGCTGCCCCAAACGGAGTGTAAATGAGTGGAAACATAGTTTTTATAGATTTTAAGGTGTCATTCTCTCGTCCAAAATTTTATTCAAATATTTCTCATATTTATTTAACAGTTGCTGCATTAAATTTCATTCACATCAGTTCAAAGAGCAATTAACTGATCCCACTCTTAGGTTGGTCATCTTGAAGCTCATAAAATGGAATTGGCCAACAATTTGTTTGAATAATATTTTTTTATGATAAAAAAACAAAGGAATGATTACATACATAGCACCCAAAACATTAATGTTTGTAAAATGTAACACCAATGTGATATTTTTGTACTATCTAATTGCTGTATTTGCACGTGTCTTGATCAAACAATTGCGAATTTGATGAAAACTAAGAAAATATGGGTTTAAAATATTATTTGAGTGAAATTGTGTGATATTTATAAATATAACGTTATCTTTCATGTAATATTAAAAGTATTGAAAAATAGTTTGAACCAAATGTCATTTCTCAAAAACTTTTATGGCAACTCTCCATCATAGTGCGAATAGGATCGTTGATTGGTGATTGGGCATTTTCATTGCACAATTTCATGTTGGAGGCTCATCAACCAAGTGTCTTTGTGATATGTCCCAAGATGCTGGCTTAATCAGGCATAAATCTCGAAGCACATTGGGACCAAGAACCCGGATCTTTGATTGCCTACACTCAAATTCAAATGAAGTATATGGATAAATCGAACTGGCTAACTTTAAATATAGTTTGATCTGAGTCCAATTGAGCCTAGATCAAACACTTAAAAGATCAAAAAAGAAGGGTTGAAATATATTTTGGACGACCAAATGATCTCAAATATGAAAAAATATATAATTAAATAGTGCAAATCGACGAAATGAGTTTAACAAGCTCAAGTTGTTTTAATTCGGACATCATTATGGAATTAAATACTCACAATACATTATCCAATCGAAGAGATCACTCTAAGGGGCGTTAGAGGTTCCAATTCAGGCAGTATTTAGAGATAATGACACTCACCTAATCAATAAATAATCCTCACTCTCTACATGAAAGCGACACCTTTACCTTTGAGAGAAAGCTAAAATAGTTCCAAGCTCTCGAGGGTTTTGAGCTCCACCGCCGCCGCCGCCATCGTCGTTGTCTCGGCACCACCATCGCTGCTAGACCACTACTACCCGACCACCACAGTTACTGTCGCCAAACCTCAGCTGCACGCCCATCATCGTCGTCGCCCATCACACCTGTCCGACCAAAATGACCATCGAATCGTCGTTGTCTGACCACCACATTAGTCATCATCGACCACCGTAGCTAAACCATCATCGTCGTTACCTTCATCTAATCGTTGCCATCACGAAAGCACTGTCGTCTAATTGATACTGACCCTAGACCACCATTGCTAGACCAACACTGTGGCATCCAAACCATCGCCATCGTTAGACTATCATTACCTAACAATCAATGTCGCCACTGGCGTCTAGCCGCCACTGCCTCTTAACCACTTTCTTCTGACCCCAACCACAACTAGACTACTGTTACCTGACCACCACCATCTAATTGTTGCATTCACATAAATTTTGTGTGATAGGTATAGAAATTTCCCAAAATAAAAAATAAAAGTGCACCTGAAATAATGTTATTTATAAATTAAACACTATATTTTATCCATTTTTTAGATTCTCACTCAAATATTAAAAATCATGATAAGATCATAATTTGTATTTTTTTATTTTTATCAAATTCATAATAATTTGATGGTGACCTAAATAAATAAGTTAAATAGCTCAAAAAATTTCTTAATTTATAAATAATATTGTTTATTGTGTTCAATATGTAATTATCTTAATTAAAAATTAATTATGTTATTAAGGTTGGACATTTCCCAAATAAAAATGTCGACTTTTCTTCAGCAGAAGGCGGGCAACCCGGCTTCTGGTCCGATCCTAGCCGTCCTTTCGCAGGAAGAAATATTACGGAGTTTTAGAAAGCTTGCCGCCGCCTGTTCAACGCCGTCCGCCTCAAGAATGGCGAAAGGCGACGATGCTTTAAGGAGAAAGAGAAACAAGGCCAATAGAAAGAGGTTACGCAACAGCGAATCTTCAGTCTCCGCTCGTGTTGCCTCTATCATCGCTGCTAAGTTCCGCCGCAAGGCCGGAAAGCGGCGCATCTGCGAGGTTTCCTCTTCTATTCTTCATCTCTTCGCTGGACAGAAATTAGTATTTTCTGCAATTGAAACAATAACGCTGTCGATTTTCTTCTTTGTTTTCCTTTACTCTCAGGGAATGTGCTTTAGCCTTCCAACGGCAGACGACCCCTTCAACGATAGGCATGAGAAGAAATCCATTGAAAAGAACAAGAAGTCGAAGAAACAAAAGCTCAATAGGAGAGAAAACGGGCAGAAGGAATCGGATTCCGCCAAGGACGCTGATAATAAGCTTCAGGAGGAGAAGGCGCTTATGAAGAAAACTGTTGAGAAAACGGGGTGCAATGGGGAAGCTGGTTGTTTTGAGAATGGCAGCGTCTCTAAGTTTCTCATGCTGTGCTTGAAAGCAGTAGAGGATGCTTGGGTGGAGGAGGGCACCCTCAATAAAGACATGATTGGGGCTCTGCAAACGAGCTCCTGGGGAGCCGAATTCTTTAGGGTTTGCTTGGCTGGCTCAAGCGTAGTGGTGATCAGTGGGGCGTCTGCAACTAGAGATCAGGTTTCTTGGCTGGTCTCAACGGCCGCTGACATGGTTACAAGGAAGAAGAAGCAAGGGATCATAGTTGCCAGCCCCTTCCTTTTGTATATAGTGCCATCCCGAGATAGGGCTTTTGAGGTATTGGTTTACATTTATGTTTGGATTTCATCATATTTTTTTAACATATGACATGGACGCAACCTTGACAATGTATATCTTACATTTATGTTTGGATTTCATCATATTTTCTAGTTAGATAGAATTTTGAGTTTCAACAACTTAGCCTGTAGGTGTTACTTGATAACTTAGGTGAGGGCTGTTTGCAAACCTCTTAAAGCTCTTGGAATTCATACGGTCAGCTTGCATTTTGGGACATCATTGGGTCACCAGGTTCATGGGTGAGTAGGTGCCTTTTCTTTTCCAAAATCTCACATTTTTCTTATCGTAATTGTTAATTTTTTTTTTCCTTTGAAAGGTTGCAGCACTTGAATGCTTCCACTGCTTTCGGCTTTGAGAAAGAATTGTGTGTATTTCACTGTTATCGAGTGTGCTTGTACATTGCATCATAGTATTGGTGGAAGTGTAGTATCTGAATAACATATATCATAATTATCATAAATTAAGCTTACGTTCAATAATCTAGCAGCAAACGTCTCCACAGACACATTCAAAGCCACCAAGATCAAAACCTGACTGCTACATTATATCCCAAAATTCCCAAACCTTGCTCCCTTACATCCTCACACTCATGCTTGCCATGAAAACTTTGTTTACCATGAAAACAAAGCTACAAACAGCCGATCACTTTCACATTATTCAGCCTCAAGATAGACTTCATTATATTGCCACGAGAGATCAACCAATATCTCAATACCCATTCGCCATTAAATCCAAAGTTGATTCTTTTTTATGCGGTAGGTTACCCACTTCAACCTGGAGACATCATGGTTTTCATTCCATTCACCTGGCCTTCAAAACCTCCATTCAATCAATTCTACAACACTCATTTCTATGCAACAAGTTGAAGATCCTTGCCACTTGATCTACCCAGTATATGCAGACCCTCTAACTCACTGATTTGCCCATAGTTGTTACCACTATTAGAGGCCGTTGACGCTCCAGACCCTTCCATCTTGCATATGGCTGTGGTCATGCACGTGCCAACCACGATTAATAGGACACTCCAACCAATTCCACAACATGGGAGACAAATCATCTACCTTTGCCATAACATGCCAGATCTATGGGAAGATGGATCATATGATAATCAAATTTTGGTACTATTTTGGTCCTCAATAGAATAATTTGAACCCGTTAGACACTACTTGTTACTCCCACCAATCTGCATAAGTCTTGTACCTTGACATAGGAACCACATTTCATACCTCAGTGTGATTAGTCTTGACAATTCCACCACCCACAAAGGATCTAAACAAGTTACAATTGAAAATGATCACTCCTTTCCAATTGGCAATATTGGCATTAACACAGTGCCCATGCCGATCAATAAGCTCCTTTTTGTCTTAGCTTATTCATGTTCCAAAAATTTTCTATGATCTTCTTTTTGTCAACTTCTTGACTAATTGCAATGCTTGCAACAAGTTCCTTAACTCTAGTGGCCACTATATGACGGACAAGAGGACCAATTAGCTTCTACTTTCGGGTCCATGTTGTAAAGGTCTTTATCTCATTTATTCTCTCTCCAAAACCACATATTGTTTCAACAACTTAGGACTAATCTCTACCCAATCAATGCTTGCATTGTGGCATGGACGGCTTGGTCAACCCGACACCCTCTACCTTATTTACCCTCGCTAAAATCTACTCGACAATATGTACTCCCTCCCTCCTTCAGTTTTGTATGCTATGTAGGATCGTTCCTTGTATCTTTCACACTATTACTGTCACGACCCTACTCGGTAAGCTTGGAATTACCAAGGTGAGAACTGACAGTCGGGCGAAGGAAATTATTACGATTCGACTTCAAGATCGACATTTTTTCACATAAACTGGGTTATGCATGGGATAATAATAAAAGACTAAACTGCCAAGGCGGGAACCGACAGTCAGGCGGAAGGAACTAAACATAATAAGCATATTTACACCCAACCATAATAATAATAAAAGATTAAATTACCTTTAGGCATACAAAAGACAAACTTGTCCTCAGACTAGGCATTGACATAAAAGTACTCCCCCCTCAAAAGACACCTTGTACTCAAGGTGAGAAAAAAAATTATACTGTTGCTTGATCAATTTTGGCGGCTTCCATCTGACGTCATTTTTTGACAATTTTTTTTTCATTTAATCATGAGGTCATAGTAACTCACAAGAGTTCGACATGTCGTCTTGTGCATATCTTTTGACCGCATATGAATCAATGAGTGGTCTGATTTTCAATCAATCTTAGAGAATATCGTAGCCCAAACAACTCTTATCGTGGTTTACCGATCAACAAAATCTATGTCAACTTGGTTTCACATGTTTTTTCCATTTTTGTCAACTTCAGTTTCACTTTCTTTTGTTTGTCCTAACCATTTGAATGTCGTATTATTTCTTCAAAGTGTTGTCGCTCGAATCCGAGTCGGGTTTCCTCGCTCGAGGCCGCCCTCATATCGTGCAAATCCTTTTGGTAGATGTTGCTGGAGTCTGCTCTCGACATCGTCTCTCGACCCCGTGGCCAGTTGAGCCTGTTTTGTGTGAAACACCATTATCTTCTTCATCGTTTCTTGCATTTCCTCTATGCTCTCGAATCCGTCCTCCATTCGGTTCTCTATGAAAGAAAACCTATTTTCTATGGCGACGAAACTTTCTTCCATCTCAGATTTGAGTTGCCTCACCTCTTCCTCCAATTTATTCTCCAAATTGTTTATTTTCTCGACTGTCATTTCTCAGAAAATTCATAACGTGAGTGTTGCAAACTATGATCTAGCAAAGGAATATGAAGAAATTATGTTCCCAATCAAACCACTAAAAATTTCAAAATTTTAGAGTTCACACTGTAAAAAAATTGACGGGTTAGTCACTCTGTATGTCGCGATCCCGTCATTGAATCACGATTATATCGTATGAGGTACGCCGCAATCCCACCGTCAGCACCCGACAAAACCTGATTTGCACAGTTCATCGCTTTCCTTCATGTCGAAGCCGGGTGATGTTATCACAGGGACATGATTGAAAGACATGATCCTTTCCCACGTGACGATCTCAAGCGGAAGGAGGAGAAGAACGCGACCCTCTTTCCTCTACATATGCCACGATTCTTTCCCGATAGCTCTAATTGCGACTATTTCGTGAGGTGAAGTCATAATATTGTCCCCACTTTGTGATCACTTCGCGTGGTCTCTTTCACCAGCGAGCTCTAACCCTTTGCGATCCCGTTGCTGCCTTCCCATGTTGCTCTAATCACGATCGTAAGTGAAGACGATGCGGGAGAAAGCGAAAGGAGTTTAGGTTTCTGTATGCACCAAAAAGATGGAGATTTGATTCTCTGTAAGCCACAATCATTCGTGCAATGCCTTCCCAGCTAGCTTTGATCGTGACTTTACGAGAAGACGATGCCCTAGATTTGCGATCCTGTACGGGGAAAGATGGCCATTTTAGTCTTTATACGCCGCCACTCAGTAAGCATGACGAAGCCTCTGGGCTCTAAAACTCTTATTGCAACTATATCAGGATCCTGTAATCACTGTGATCGTCGCTTACGCCTTTAGGTGCGGGGATCTTCAATTATGTCATAACTAGTTTAATCCATATTCATTGGGATTCTTTTGGTGATATCGTAGAAATTTATTGCTCAGATATCAATTTTTTATGATTCTACGTCAAGCGCGACAGTTTTTTCACAGAAATTAGGGAAAAAACAAATATTTTTTTCAATAATCCAAACAACTCACACAAATACAAAAGGCAAGCACCTACAATTTGAGAGGCTGGTGATCTTTCTCAATTATACAATTCGAGAGGTAGGAAATCCCTCCAAAACTCTAGACCTAAGAGTCACAACTCAATCTCATAACCCTAACACTAAACATAATAAGCTTATTTATACCCAACAACAGTAATAATAAAAGACAAAATTGCCCTTAGGCATACAAAAGACAAAATTGCCCTCAGACTAAGCATAGCCATAATAGAAACCTATCGAATAATTTCATTTCATCATAAAAGTAAAAATCTAATACACAAAAGAGACATTCTAGTTCATGAAACATATATTTATAATAAATTGTTCATATTTAAACGCTTATATTCAAACAAAAAATAAATTAAACCACAAATCTATCAGCTTGTGCTACTCGTACTCCATGGGGTCCATGTAATTTACAAATGATTTTTCTATAAAAATATTAGCAACTATGTTTGAGTTAAAACTATTTAGTCGGTAAATGTTTCTAAATTACAATAATTTTCATTTTAAAATATTTTTGTAAAAGAGCATAAAAAGCAAAATACTGTACAGTAAATGTGAGCAGTAAAGAAAAAAAATTCATTTTCTTTCATCTATTTATGTTACACTTTTCATAATTAGGAGTCACCGTCTAAATGTATACTTTATAAAAATATACGTTTAATATTTTCCAATCCACCATAAAGGTAGACAACCTTTTACATTTCCATTTTCATTTATATTTTTATTTCCATTTTATGCATGGGTACGCATTCCCCTGCTGGTATCATCAATGAGTGACTCTCATATGCATGCATATATCATATTTTATTCTTTTTTATCTTGCATTTTATATTTAAAAAAAAATTGCATTTAACATTTGAAAAGAAATATGAACATTTGCATTTTAGAATAAAAGTTGAGAAAACTGTGAAATATGTTTAAATAAACAAAATTATTTTAAAATAAAAATATATTACCCACTTAAACGATGTCATCTGCTATCATTTTTCTCAGATAAATCTATTCCTTTTTTCTGAACCTATAATAACATATTGGGCTTAGTTAGTTGTTAATAACACATCATATTTAATTAATTTAAATCAAAATTTGACCATCTTTCTCAAGAATTCTAACCTATGAATTAGATATTTTTATTTGCCCTTTTTATCTAATTAAATTATTATTTATTGTTAATCAATATAATTATTTTTCTAAATTACCCTTAATCTTAACACTGAAACTTTATAATTTATTTCGATACATTCTAAGACTATTAATAAAATTTCTTTACTCTTATTTTGTAATTTAACAAAAATTATTGAAACATATAATAATTAAACGTAAAATTAAGAATTTATACCTAAAATTCCCCTCTTGCCTTCTTTGCCTTAACTTCTTCGTCAAAACCCTAAAATTATTAACAACATTAAGTCATTATAACTTGTAGAATTTTATGATATTCAATTTCAATTAAAATAAATTAATAACTTAACATCATTTAATACT